ATCCTCATCTAATCTGTAACGCTCATTTTCTTGTATAGATGCAAAGGTCTGGTTCAGGTTAGTATTTAAAATTTCGTCACTTATTATCTTTGTTGCATTATTATCACTACTAATGAAATCGTGGGTTTTATCCTTAGTATCAGTATCAGTGTGGGTAACATGATAACTTTCGTCGTTTTCGTTTATGGTAGTGACAATATCAGAAACATTGTTAGGTTTAATGTTTCTAGTATTATTGTCGATTTCTTCAAGTGTATCGCATATGGGGATAATTCGAACAGGGATATTATTTTTCCAATATGACTGTAAGTCCTTGATAAGCGAGAGTCGTTGCAAGTAAGTACTATTACTGTAAAAAAAAATCTGTAATTTTGTCGTATGCAGAAAAAAGAAAAAAAGTTTTACTAGAAACAAATATTTTGACCGATTTAGTAGCCTTGGGTTGTAATAGTATTACAACCCAAGGCTACTAAATCGGTCAAAATATTTGTTTCTAGTAAAACTTTTTTTCTTTTTTCTGCATACGACAAAATTACAGATTTTTTTTTGGAAATATTAACAGAAATATTTTCGCTGGTCGAAGGAAATTCCAAACATTGTTGAATAAAATTGTGTCCCAAACATCTTTGTTTAACTTTGTAATAACTTTTTGTCCAGCGAGGATGTACAATATTTTCATCAAAAATTGGCAAATTCAACTTTTCACGAAGAGAAAATATATGCCTACATGGTAGTAACATACCAATATAAAAATGGCAAGTACACGATTCTGGTGTTATCTTAAGTATACCTTTCTTGGTGTTAATTATACCTGCATTGTTTAAAATATCAATTTCTTTTAAAACTTTGCTACGATTTATTTCGTTAATAACCATTTTGGCCGGTTCGTTTGTTAAAAAGTTCATAATTTTTTTTTCATCACTTGTAGAGCTATAAGTAATTACATCTCGCTTTTGAAACTGGTAAACTGCCTTAAAATCTCTTTCAGTTTCAAGAGAATGTATTACAACAAATAAAGATTCAATAAAATCTTCCAAACTGCTGTTTTTTTTTTATAACCTGTTTGAGTTTTGAGTTTAAACTTTCAATTCTATTGATAGTGGTGTTAAGAAAAGATCCTTTAAAGTATTCTTCATTCAAGGTCCATTCATTCCTAATGTTAAGCCAATTTTTCTTAAAATAAGTATATACATTTTTAAAGGCCTTTAATTTATCGCACAAATTATTAAATTCTTCATCATTTTTCGAGTAAATTAATTTTTGCAGAATCTCTAAACATTGACTTCGTTCAGTGGCATTTATATTCATTTTGCAACATGTGACTTCACGAAAAAATATTTTCATTACATGAAAAATACAAATTATAACATTAGCATCAGGAAAGGTTTTTTTATTACGTCGCGTTCCAGTAGATCTTTATCTGTCATAATACATTTTGTGTTTACCCACTGGCTATTTTGCAATTTAAAGGTTTCAAAGAACCATTCAATGCTTTCTCTATCTTCATTCACAAGTAAACATACTGCTACAATTTCACTTTGACAATTGCCATCCTCCGCTATTATTAGAAAAACGGGAATACCAATATTCAAGAGTTTATATGTAGCATCAACAGCTAAAAACTCTGGAAAGGCACTCATAGTATTTTTCATATCACGGGTTTGCACAAATAAACCTTTAAAATTGTCCTCGTCATCTTTAAAAATAACTACATCCGCATTTTTTTCATTTCTTAGAAATTAATACAATTCATTAAATTATCACCTTTAATTATCTTTTTTCGAACAATATTTGATAAATCTTTTAAGATAACAACTTTACCAGTTTCTTGTTCTAATACCTTCTGAACTAACTTTTTATTGGCTCTAAGTGAAAGTAAATGCCTGGCATTATCTTTTGAAGCATCATTTAACTTTCTTTGTTGAGGTAAAAATGCAAATTTTTCTTTGGAACTATCATGGTTATGTTGTTCATTGAACTTCCTTATTTCTAATGCTTTCCCGTTGGTAGAGGGACTAAAAGAAATAAATGCTGGACACAAATTTTCTTTCTTAAATGTTTTTGTGTTTCTTTTATTCTTGCCTTTTGCTCTAAATTGCTGGCCTCCAAATATGCAGCAATATTTTAAATAGCAATATTTTAATTCAGCTTTAACATTTCAAACTTGACTATTTGATGAAATATGTTTTGCGTCTCTTTTCCAATATTTGTTATAGGTTAACTCTTCATATTCATTTATAAATTTTGTTATTTCTATGCAAGAACTAAATTTTTTCCCAATTTCCAACCTAAAATAATTAACAAAATATATACATAATTAAAAGTAAACTTAATTACAAAATACTTACATTATAACCACTGTTTAATTAATGAAGCCGTTATAGCAAAACAATATGATCATAACCTCAAAAATTTAAAATAATTGTCAGAAGTCGGGACTCTGGTGAAGTACTGAGTCGGTACGGAATATGGCTACCGATTTCCAATGTGTGACGTCCAATTATGACGTCACTCGGGACTGAACTTAAGTCCCGCCTCGGGACGGGAGCCACAGCGTTATTATTATTATTAATTAATTGGATACTTGCTCCTCGAGTTCCATCCGCTCCCTCCCACCCAGTTTTTTTTATTATTTAAATAATATTGAGACTTGTTGTCATATAGGCCGGTAAAGATGTCCGCGCATCTATATATATGTATATGGTTATAACCATTTCTTGCTACCTCACAGCAAATTTTTAATGCAGCAAACTTTTTCACCGCTTGCGTGTGAAAGGGAAACTTGCCGAACCTTATATAGAAGTCGTCTGCTTGATTTATAAATATTTTTAGTTCTTTTATTTTAAAAAAACATTTCCAAATTTATAAACATTTTTAACCCTAGAATTTGCTAAACCGCCAAATTTTTTACGTCAAACTCTAATATTGGACATTTTTTTGTAAACATATTGTTAACATAAGGTAACTTTTTGTGGCTACCCCAATTAATATATAAAAAAAAAATGTTGGGCCCCCGGGGCACCCTTAAATATTGGGCTAGTACGCTAATTTTTTTTCTACAATTATTGTCAACATAATGTAACTTTTTGTTGCCACCCCAAACAAAATATAAAAAAATAATATTTTGGGCCCTCAGGGGGACCCTTAAATATTGGGCTAGTATGCTAAATTTTTTTTACAAACTACCTTTGGCATAAGGAAACTTTTTTTTGGTACCACTAAATTGAATTCAAAAAATAATTTTTTCGGCCCACCCTAATGTGCATGCCTATTTTTATACATAAAACATTGAAAATATTGAGGCTGATTTATTTTTACTTTTTTTTTAAACTAGCTACAGTATGCAGAGTGTTTATTACTATTAATTTTACCTAGATAGAAATTACTGTTTATTTAAATATTAATTTTTAATTAGCGTTAATAAAATTAAAACAATTCTACTCATTCAATTGGAGAATAGCAGCCACCTGCCAATAATAAAAAAATTAAAAAGGAGTCGGGGAACCACAGCCGCCGGTCTATCATAGGCAAGGAAACACGCACACCCTTCACTGTTGACCAATTACAAAATATACCTGGAAAGCGATCCGGCTGGAACGGCAGTTCCGGCCAACCGGCCGGATTTAGTGGTACCGCCGGAATTCCGGTGCATCCCTAGATATAATCCAACTTTTTATGGCCAATAAGTTGGAATGATAACAAATTCAAAATTTTGGGTGGGTCAGATAGATAAGGAGTAGGGGTAAAACTACCCTAATTTTTTTGTACGTATCTTGTTCTATGAACTAGAGAAAAAGATTCAGCATAGGCCATAGACAATTTTTAAACAACCTCTCACATATTACATGAAACTGTTACCTGTCTTAAATAATTTTTCCTAAATATGGCAGCTGTGTTCCATGGCCTACGCTGAATTTTTCTGTCTTGTGAATTCATTATGATCTTTTATGCTATGTAAGGTAATTTTAAATGGATTTTAAGTGAAAACAGTGGATAATATCAAAGTGTAACAAGAGGACCTTTTTTGTGTTAAAAACTCCGAAATTGTATAATCTGACATCAAATCCTAGGACTAGACACATACAAAAAAGTTAGGGTGGTTTTAACCCCTATTCTCTATCTATCTGACCCACCCCTCATGGAAAGTTTTTATAACATCTTATTGGCCATAAAAATTAACTCCCAAAATTTTACTTTTCTATCTTGAACGTTTTTGGATATATTAAATAAAAACCATCTTCAGGAGCTCCTGTTTTAGGGGCTGTAGTTCCCTTAGAAAGCATTTCTCAGCCTATGTTTATAGGAATTTTTTGTCTTATTTTTGTACGTAGAATCTGCTGTTAAAGTATTGCCCGCTAATTATGGGACACCCTGTTTATGTCATTCCACATTAAAAAGTGATAATAGAACGGTCATATTCCGTAATATGAGTAGAAAATAATTCATTCTATAATACTTTTAGGAATATTTGTCATTCCACATTAAAAAGTGATATTAGAATGGTCATATTCTGTGATAGGAGTAGAAAAAAGCATTCCACATTAAAAAGTGATATTAGAATGGTCATATTCTGTGATAGGAATAGAAAAAAGCATTTTTCAAGCTCAAGGGCCTTGTGCATAACTCAAACACTCGCATAAAAAAGTCGCTTTTGAACACAAATAACTAATTTCAAATTTATGTTTTGACATTTTAAAATTTAAAGAGTGGTTAAAGATCTCTGCTAAAACCAAAAAGCAGACAAATTTTTGCAATCTCTAAAGAAAAGTATTATTTCACCACATACCACACAACAATCAATTAATACTTATGTTATATTGGAATTAATGTACCAAATTTTTGCTTATAATTCAAGAATGTTAATTTAAAAAATTCTTAATTATTTAGGCTTTGTAATATAATATTGTTACTTAAACTGATGGGTTTAATAAAATGCATTATGATTTTTAACATTTACAACAAAGAAGTTTACTTATTTGGTTTAAGAAGCATTAATTTACCTGAATAATACCTCCTGTATACTGTGCTACACTAGTGTCTGCTTCTAAGTCCTTATTTTCCACCACCAATTTATCTTCAGTTTTCCATATTGGTTCAATATCCACAAAGTATTTTTGAACTGCATCCACCAATTTTTCATGTTCCACTCCAACTCCAGCCACAACCATTCTTTTTGGTATGTAGTGATTATGCAAATAGGTGAATAAAGTTTTCCTGTGTATTTTGTTAATATTGCTTGGGGGACATATTTTGGGAAGACCCAAAGTATTATCACGGTAGGCTGCCTAAAATTGAATAATTTAATAAAACAAAATTTAATTATTAAAATTACAAAACAAAGAGCAATGCTTTTCTGAATAAAAATGTAAACCATCATTTAGATATGAAACTTACTATATGAATCATGTCCATTAAAAAAGTTTCTTGCTCAGGCCTCATATTAAGTGTTTCCAGTTCAAAATGTATTGATTGCCTGGCATCATCCACTTCATCAATTGAAATTTGAGGACGTAATGTTGCCTCTGCTAGTAGTTCTATTACATCATCTAAGCCAGTTGTATATGCTGAGGCTGCATGGATGAAAGTATCCCTAGAAGCTTGACTATCACAAATTCCACCATGTTTTTCCAGTTTATTTAACATTTCATTCCTATCAGGATACTGTAATGTTGACTAAAAAAAATTTATAATAAAACCTAATAGTTGTGTAGCTGAAATTTTTATTTATTTTTTTTTATCTTAGATAAATACTTTATAGTTGATACCTATGTAAAAATGGCTGTTATATCTAAAAAAATTAAATGAAGCTTATAGTAAGGTTTTTAAACATTAAAAAGTTTGAATAATGTAAATATGAGCAACACAAGTATACTAACATTAAAAGCCAACTTTTCAAGAAAGTGTGAAATTCCACTTGGATATGCAACTTCATATCTTGATCCAGAGTCGATTATTACTAAAAATTACACAATAATTATAATTATTTAAAAACATTTAATGATTTATTACCTCCTACTGTACAAAATTCTCCAAATCTGTTTTCTGATGCAACAGTTAAACCGTTTTCCAACACGGTTACTTTTGTTGTTTGATCGTCCTCTTTAAAGGTAGCATAAACAGGTTTTGGAAGACCCTTAACAGGCTCACTCATTGGAGGCATATCAGTGACTTTTTGTTTGGGAGGGCCATCGATACTCTTTGTATATGTGCGTAAAATGTTCCTTGAATTCCAAATTCTGAAAGTTTTTACATTTATAGGTTATGTTTGTAATAATGATTAATACCTACTTTTTGTTTTTTAAGACACATTTGCTAAGTTCTTTGGTTGCCTGTAGGGCCATTGTGGACAAGTTTTTAGAAGTTTGAAATATAATATTATATTAAAAATTTTGAGGTGATAAATTATGACATTTTAAGTTAGTTTCACACTAAATCAGAGTTGCCAATGGTATAAATAAATGTTTCTCAATCAGTGTTACCAATCCACCAAAAATTTCGGCATATCTTTGCTACTGACCACGGTCTTATACAGGTCTTGCAACTTTAAGCTTCGAGGTGGCTTCCTTAACGTGCCAAGCCGCTAGGTGGCGCTAAGATCGAAGGGTGAAGTCAATTAAATGAACTACTTAGTTAAATGTGGAACTACTGCATAACCATAACCTAACTTTTTAAATTCTTTTTCTATGTTTTGTTTACATTTTCAAAAATTTAATATTTGTGAGTTTGTTTCGGATAATTTACGTTAACAAAATAGGACAACAAAGTCTATACTCTATGCACAAAGTCCTCGGCTGTCACATGCCCAGACATGCAAACATGTAAGTAAAACATGTTAATGTATAAAATACATACGTATATCATATATATGTTACAGCTAATGTGTAAACATGGATAGTTTATAAAGTAGCTGGGTAGTTTATAAAATAGCCAAACTGTCAGCTATTTTAATCTATTTTAATCTAATTAATAAGTAAAAACTCCCTGTAACAAAATATACAAGCTTCTTTATAAAAATGTAGGTTATGTTTCTTAACACAGAACATAAGTAGGTAGTTCATTTGACCTTTTATCCCATAGACTTTAAGGACTTAGAGCCGGTTTTACAATCGTTAGATTAAGTTAGCTTATTTGGCGGATAACTTTCATAGAAACCTTCTATCTAAAAAAATTATCCACCAGAGAGCTTATCTAACGATTGTAAAACCCAAAGATAATGAAGGTAAAAACGACCCACAACTCGATGCGCCATCTGGTGGGTGTCTCATAAGAGAGGTCAGTTTTCCTATTGAAATTGGGCGAAGTTGCAAGACCATGCCACAAAACTAGTTTTGTGGACCATGCACCAGGGTATACCGTGCTACTGACCTATTATCCAGGGTTGCCAACCGTACTAGTATTTCTACTATTTTATGTCGGTGTACTATGTACTATAGAAAAGTATTATGGTACGTTAAAATACCATAATTTTGAATAATAGTATTATTATTATAATACCCAACTCTTAAAAAATCTATAATTTTTAAAAAAGGAAACTGCAAAATTTGTATTTTCGCGCCCTCTTTTATGCAAAAGCAAAACTAGCCACATGAAATACCGTGGTGCGCATTAGCGCGGCGCGTGCATTCATAGAAAAAGATTTTTATAGGTTATACCACAATCCACACAAGTGGATTGTGGGTTATACCAAAGATAATACATATATTTAGGTTATACGTGTAAATACAGTGATTTATTATCTATGATACAGTGTGAACATTTTATGATAAATGGTATGTACCTACATAATACATTTCCAATTGCATACATTCTTTCTTAGCCGGGATTCAAGTATTCTAATGATTCCACCTTTGCGTCCTGTGTTAACTGCAGTTCGTCGCTTCCAATTGCCTTTAAATTTAGAGTAGCAATGTTATTGCTTCGTAGATACTCTAAAATTGCACTTGCAGTACAGTCAGCAGACAAAGACTTTGGGGATATATGGCCAATATACTTTGTACCTAGTTAATGTACTAATACGACATGTCACTCTTTGATTATATTTCGATAGTTTTTCTTCCCCTTCTTTTGGTGACTCATTGTTTGGTCTTTTCGTCCGTCGAAATACAATCCTTCCAAAATTAAACTGTTTCTTCTTTCAGCTTATTTCGTCTCTTTTGTCTTTGCCTTCTGAGAGTCATCGTGTCAATAACATTTTCTTTGTTTTCATTAGAAATAAGGCCCATGTCTTCTAATGTAGCACTCGCTATGATGGCTGCCGCTCTGTCAGATACACCCGTTCTTTCACATGCCAACGCAAGTGAAGGTAGATGATACCTTTTTGTTCGAGTTTTTCTTGAACCATTTGTAGCTGATGTCGGCGGTTGGTTGTTATAATCGAAATCATACTCTGAACTTGAATCATGTTCCTTTGGTCACCATTTTCATCGCATGATGTTTCTTCTGGCATCTTTTCTTCACAACTTTTTACAAGACTCTTTTGTTTTCTTAAAGTCTCCGTCTCTATTCTTTGGGCTATTCGCTCATTTTTTCTTGTTCTTTCCTTATCTATTCCACTCATTGCCATAAGAAATTCTCGTTCTTCTTTTGGAACTCGGATCGTTCTAATGCAATGACATAAGACAAAATCCTTACATTTGCAGGCACTTATGTCGAAAATTCTTTTCGCAGACTCCCGAAATTTGTTTAATTTAATTTTAAAAGCAGTATTACCATTGAGTAAGGAAGTTGGGTTCAATGGTATTACCCTTTTTAGACTTGGTACACTTCTTCAAATTTCTACACTTATCGTGGTAGTCCTTAACCATTTTCATAATACGGTTGTGGGAAACTACTGGAATAGAGGTTTGTTGCCAAATTTCTCTTAAAGTTTCCACAATTACTGGTGAAATTTCTGCAACAGTATGATTACGATTCCAATTTTACGATTTCAAGTCAATCTGAATCCACAAGTAATACTTAATTAATTACATCCTCATAGGTAGGTAAATCACGGTGGTCTTTTTTTAATGACTTTGGCTCACCAAACACAGGACATTTCACCGCACTTCTTGTTTTTGGCACTTTGGCAGCCATTATTTATGGTTATAAGTTATAAGTTATCTTATAACCATATACACAATCACAATAGGTATAAAACTGCTTAACTTGATCAATACGTGACAGATTTAAACTGTTAGTGACAGTCTGTCACATTTGTATTATTGTCATTTTATTGTCTGGGATGCATTATTATGCAAAAAGTTATGTATTGGGTGTCTTAAAAATTATTATCCCCATTCACTATACATATTTTAAATTTCAGGAGCCTAGCGGCACCGGTAAATGTTAATAAAAAAATTTAAAAAAAATATTGTTGGCATTAAATTTAAAAAAGAAAAATAAATTTTGCTATTACGACAAAAATTTCTGGTACATATATGTACATTAGGGTGTCCCTTATTTTTATTTTTTTTACGCATACCCTCTTATTATATTTATTACTTGTTTATATACTCCCAGTAAAAATTTCAGCTCATTCTATAAACGGGAACCCGTGCCGACTTGCATCTAAACCCTCCGTTAGCCAACGTTAGGCGCGCGCGGTATTTTGTAACACGAAACACTTTAAAAAGAAGATATACTTCATGACTGTATTTTTCTAATGATTTTATTAAATATGATTACTAATTAATATTATTGCTTTTGTTTCTATCATTTGTTTCACTAATTTAGTTGATTTTATCCCTTAAATATATTAATATACTAATTAGTATTGCTAAAATATACTGTTATATGAAATTTCAGCTTTTTATAAGCATTTCTTTTCTTGATGTCCTCCCAAAAATATTTCAGACAGTTCAATAAGTTTTCGGTAGTCATCTCTCACAATAGACTCTTTTAGTTATTTAGAGTAAAACCCATTAAGTTTATCAATTTATATACATTTTTATCAAAGTATACATATAAATAAAACTATATTTTAACATTTGTCAATAATTTATAATATAAGGGTCACATAATAACAAACACAAAATGACTTACGATCGAAGACCTCGCGACCAACTGTGTTACAAAATACCGCGCGCCGGAGTGTTCAGATGCAAGTCGGCACGGGTTCCCGTTTATAGAATGAGCTGAAATTTTTACTGGGAGTATATAAACACGTAATAAATATAATTATAATTAGAGGGTATGCGTAAAAAAAATAAAAATAAGGGACACCCTAATGTACATACTACATGAAAATATACGCTCAAATTAGAAAATATATTAGATATTATACAGGGTGTCCGGGAAAAGGAGGTCAATCCGTTAACCATATATTCCTTAAGTTAAAACTTTCATAATACCATTTTTCAATTTAGAGCTTCATGTTCGATATACAGGGCGACAAAGTTTGAAATTTAAAACTGATTTTTTTTAATAATTCGAGTAATTGATAAGATATTAAGTTCAAATTCGGTACTCAAATGATTTAGCAAGTGATTGCCCGTGGTATATCAGTTTTAAAGGGAAAATCGTATGTGAGTGGGCAAAAAGTGTCATTTATCGAGTCGTTTGAAACTGCATGTGATCATGTACAAATTTTCAACGTGAAATTTTGCCAAGCAAAGGTAAACCGTGACGCGGAATGTGGCGTGTGGACACGCCACACTCCAGAGAAAAGCACGTCTGAAATCCCTTCCCGTTCTATCATTTCGCGCGGCGATACTCACTCACGTACATGATTTTCCATATGTTTTTGCAGATAACACGATAAACCGCGCGCAATAACGTCTGTGTATGGCCAGCTATTGACTTCCAAACGGTATTTTTTCAGATAATCATTTATTGTTAAAAAAAATTTGTCTCTTATAAAATTTTGATAACATGATTTGTTTTAGAAATAATTTGTAAAGTATGGGTCAGTTCATATCAAATCAACCAAAGGTTCTTTCCCCACCATCTCCGATTTTGATAATTTTTGGTAAATTTGTTTACCTCACTTAAAAACTCAAAAATCCCATATATGAATTTTTTTCGATAGATGGTTTTTGTTTTATTGATTTTTGAAAATGAAAAAAATCCCATAAATTTGGGTCTTGCAAGTACTTACAAAAATAGCTATATCTCGTAAACTATTAAAAGTAGAAAGGTGAGTGATGGCTTATTTTAAAGGCCTATTAGAGACATTTTTTATGATATATCACATGACCTAAATTTTTTCCAAAAAAAAAATTAAATTTCGAAAATTTGATATGGACTGACCCATACTTTACAAATTATCTCTAAAACAAATCATTTTATCAAAATTTTATAGGAGACAAAAAATTTTCAACAATAAATGATTACCTGAAAAAATACTGTTTGAAAGTCATTGGCGCACGTACTAAAAAATAGGGGGAGTCAGTGAGTACTGGACCCCCCTATTTTGATTATTTGACAATTGTTTTTTGTTTTGTTGGTCTCAAAAAATGTAAC